TCGTGTACCAATTTTTTATGAACATAACTCTCAGAAGAGCTTTTCAACCTGGTGAATCTTAACAGATAATTGTGATGGATCCTTTAGTTGTAAAACATCGTGGACGGCCACCGATTAAGCGGTTGAAAAGCTCTTCTGAGAGTTATGATCATAAAAAATTGGTACACGATGTGACTAATCTTCAAGATCCAAACTTAGAAATGCCTCCTTCAAATATAGATTTGAATAGTTATGTTATAGATAACAATGCGAATGAATTGTGCCATAAAGGCAAAAGAAGATATGTATGCAATTTATGTGGTGGGGTAGGGCACAATTCACGCACTTGTAAGAAGCAGGAATAACAATATGGTAATACTGTATGACATAGTATAGCGCATTTCAAATTGCAAAGCATTGATTCTGAATTACGTAACAATTTACATTGTGTATATTCTGTTTGAAATTGTAGCTGCTATCAAAATCATAATTATTGGTTATGATTTTGATAGCTTAGTTAATTTATTTTATTGTTAGGTAATAGAGCGAAGTCGTATGCATCCACTCAATATTAGATAAGTATTAACGATAAGTCTTTTTTGTTCATTCTTGTATGAATTCCTATTTGAGATTTTTTTTTTTTTGTTTCAGCGAATATAGCCTAGCAACAAGGATAGAATTTTTGATTTCAGTATAAAATCTATCCTTGTTGTGTCAAATTAAAATTTATCTTTCATAACGTCAAATGATACATCGTTTTTTGTAGTAATAAACATTCCTGTTGAGAATGTTGTTAAAAGCTAGGATTTTTTTAGATTTACGCTCCGCGAGACTGCTGCCTAGCTGCGAGCGAAGTGAGCAGCGTATGGCAACTATAGTAGGGTAAGCATACGTACTATGTTATTGTATTAAATGATTCAATAAACACGTCTTAAATTATTTTGAGTGCATAACTATATTTCATTAGATTTATTGACTCGAGCATAATTTTATATGATTGTATGTACGTACATACGTACGTACGTATACCTGGTAAATCTGTTAAGAATGTACACGAAGCGAATATAGAGTACAATACGTACGTACGTACATATACGTACTGTACGTATACGATATGTTAGTTTAGTATAGTAGTACAGTACTCTTGTATCGGTTATATAACGTACCTTTACAATTTTTATATGTACGTATATACATATATATATGTATATATATATATATACATATTAGTCTAATTTTATATTATACCACGTGACCCTGGTAATCATCACTATGGGTTATAGTTAGAAAAATTCTATTATTTTTAGTTTAAATTTTTAAATTTTATATATCTTACTATGTAAAGGATTATCAACCAGAAAACTGAAAAACTGAATGGAACCAAAGTGTTTGGCAAGGCACTTCACTAACCTGGTCACCAGAGAGTAACCAGAGAAAAAGGACCCAACCGAGAGGATAAAGGGCAGGTCACAGCCTTTCTGGTCCATCTAGATTAGAAGTTTGGGATGACAGATATATGGGTGATAGTCTGTATAGTAAGTGCTGGGGTTTGAGTAAACTCTATAAGGGTGGTAGTAGGTAACAGTAGGGGCTTTGGCTCACAAGTACTTATTCTTAGACTCGGCGTAAGTTATTGAAAAAAGTTTAGGTCAGCTAGATTTGTGAGTACAGAAAGCTCTAGCAGATTTATTATGAGGATAAAGGACCCTCCTATATGGCAGTATATATCTGCTTTAAAGTCCTAAAGGGCCTTACCAGCAGTTTCTCTTTGAGGAGAATATCCAATGGTGCTAAGTTGATTAGAGAGTTTAAATAGATAATCCTCTTAGTTAGGTTATAGGTATAGCTGCTAGTGTAGTTCATATGGGTTATATATATAAGACTGCTTAAATAGACAACCAAAAGTTGTATACATGGCTAGTTGTATCTTTGTTAATGTAACAAAGTTAGGAGTAGCCCATGTAGGTTGCCTGACATTCGAATCAAAGTTCAATAAAATGTGCCAAACTTCAAAGTGATCACCTTAATATTAAAAAAAAAAAAATAAAAAATTTTATATATCTTTAAACTATCATCTTATTGATATAAAGCAAATATAGTAATATTTATTTTTTTTTTATATTACTTAAAGTGAGGTTATGCTTCTCAACTTTATTAATTCTTTAAGATATTATACATTTCATATATAATTTTACTTATTAAACTAATTTCTGACTCAAGACTCAACTACTTTATCTGTAACTGTAACCTACCAAAGTATTCTGTATTTCATTTACATCTTTATCTAGATTTTGTGCTTCACAACTAACTAATTCTAGTTACCCAACTGTATTCCCCCCATGACTCACAATCAAACCTCAGTAA